TATATATATATATATGGGTAATATGTACCTAAGGAGGCTCCTTAGGGTACATCTAAGGATGCATCTCTCAATGTATGAATTGTGCTACTTTAATGGACGATCCGCTCCATTCATTATAATCTAAATGTCTTAAAACATCTTCAAAATAAAAATCATGATATTTGAATATTTCTAATACATATTTTTCATTGTCTCTTTTGTTGTGTTGTCATAAAACAGTTAATTTTACTATCACTTGATGCATTAGTAAAAACAACCAAATATGCCTACTTTTTGGTTTACATGACATCCAAATCATATAGATCATAATGAACGGAGTGGGTCAAGTAAATTGATTGCAAATAATCTAATTTTCAAGGTGCATCCTTAGGTTCACTCTAAGGTGGCTCCTTATATATATATATATATATAAGCACAAAAAGTTATGTTTGGTAGTGAGGTGTCAAATCCCCCTCCACTAATTTAAATGTGGGAACAAATTCACATGGGTAGTGAGTGGATGAGGATGTGACACATCACTACCAAGCACAAAATTTGTGCTTGGTACCAAGCATACCCATATTTCTCATATATATATCATACTCCATTTAAAAGCACGAGTTCGGAAAAATCTTTCTATGGTTAGTATTGCCCTTAGCTTTTTTAAATATTATATTATTATTCTAATATATTCTAATTTTAATCATATCTTATCTAATTCCATGTGAACTATCTATATGTCAACAATTTAAAAAAAGTTATTTAAAATATTTCACTTAAATCTTAATCTATCCAAATACTAATTATATCCTATATTAACTCCATATGAACTACCTATAACTCAAAAATATAGAAAAAATAAGATTCAGAAATTATACGTAGATAACATATTATAATACATGAAGTATTATAAAAATCCCAAAAGTTTCTAAAATTGCATATAATAGCCTTAAAAGTTTAAAATTACACAAAATAGCTTGACTTTTTAAACTTAAAAACAAACATGATATCTAAAAATTTAAAACTTGTAATTAACACTCTCAATATTTTAAAAATTGTAGAAACAACCTTAAAAGTTTAAAGGCTAAATTACATTTATATACCCTATGTGTTTTATTTTAAAAATTGTAGAAACAACCTTAAAAGTTTAAAGGCTAAATTACATTTATATACCCTATGTGTTTCGCTCTTGAAGCAGTTATATACCCTACATTTATATACCCTATGTGTTTCGCTCTTGAAGCAGTTATATACCCTAAGTTATAAAATATAGCAAAAAAATACCATGTGTTGCCAAAAATTCGTAACTTGATACCTTCTGTTAATCAGCTGTGAGAATATTCTCTGGAATATTCCCACGTCCTGGACCTATTATAATACATGAAGTATTATAAAAAAATCCAAAAGTTTAAAAAATTACTTATAATAGCCTTAAAAGTTTAAAATTACACAAAACACCTTGACTTTTTTAAACTTAAAAACAAACATGATATCTAAAAATTTAAAACTTATAATTAACACCCTCAACATTTTAAAAATTATAGAAACAACCTCAAAAGTTTAAAGGATAAATTACATTTATATACCCTATGTGTTTCGCTCTTGAAACAGTTATATACCCTAAGTTACAAAATATAGAAAAAAATACTGTGAGTTGCAAAAAATTGCAAGTTGGTAACTTCTGTTAACCAGCTGTGAGAATATTCTCTGGAATATTCCCACATGCTGGACCTATGACTAACTTGAATACTTCTTACCCTCATTTATTATATTATTTACTGTATTACTCACCCCCAACCCCTCCCCCCCTAAATTAGATTATTTTCATCATCATCATATTCTTTTCGTGGCCTCCAACTTCTTCTTCCTCTTTAATATGGGTAACTGTAGAATAGTAGAAAACAAGAGCTTTCACTGGGGGGGGGGGGGGGTAATTCTTAAGGAGGGGCATTATTGTCCTTTAATTTCAAATGGAGAAGTGAAGGAAATAAACTCAAAATTCAAAAAACATTCATGAATCACCTGAATTGATATTAATAAAAAACATACCGAGCAAAGAAGATCTAACCGAGTTCTCCTTGAAGAACATATTGAACAATTATGTCCTAATTAAAAAAAAATATTATTCATGAAAAGTACAAAAAAAATAGTAAGTACTTATAAATTTTTATACTTTATTCTAAAAATACCGAAGGAATCATAAACTTAATAAAACATTTTATATAAATAATCTTGCAATAGAAACTAAAGTGAAGCCATTGATCAACTACATTGCGAGGTATAATAAAGTAGATAAGATGAGAAAAATCACTATAATGGACAAAAAATATGAACATGATACTTAGCTACCATAGTGTAAGTAAAAAAATTAAAATTGATATTTTTCTTTTCTCTATATAGTGACACGACTCTGTAAGTATCCTTATTTGGGGATATGACTACAAACGAAAGATAAAATTTTAAGAACACGATCAAAGAAAAGCATGTAATAGTACTGTCAGAGTTCAAGATCTTTAAATATGAAGGTAACATATTTTACAAC